TTCTTACTTTATTTTGTCGCTGATAATAATGGCAAATTTAGAACTTTACAAAGAGCAATCATTGTTTTAGCTGGCTGTAGTCAAGGTTCAATTTGTCACAATATCCTCAGCTGTCTTTTAATCTTCTGAACTTGAAAGACACAATACTGAAATCTAAGGAAGCTTTTAAAAATCAGGTTGCATTGTGGAAATTCTTCCTCTAAATATAAAAGAAACAAATCTTTTAGATGAGGTTTTCATATTTCTTTGCAGCAATAAGTTAAATGTGAACTTAGTTACAATAATAAAAGCATAAAAACCTCCATTGTTGAATGAACTCTCATGACCTGACAGCATACTGATTGAAGGACTAAAATGTTCAGTTTTTTGGATTCTTAAGTAGGTTTAAGCATTTAGCGCGCACTTTCCCCTGTTACACATGGGGGTGTCTATAAGATATGAATAAGAATTGAACAAATATTAAATTTTAAAGGACAATATCTAATTCTTTGGTTTGCATTATTGGTAATTCAGAAAGAATGGTCTGATAAAAAGATGCTTTTAACAGAAGTACTTTCCCCTTGGGGAAATTAAAAACTGTCTTTTTCATCTTATCTCACAGTATAATGTGCTTTAGAATGAGATGCAGAGTTGTTAGTGTGACATGGATGACAAACAAAATGCACAAACAACCAAAAAAAAGAGCTTTTAGCAGGCAGTTCATATTGCAATTTTATTTTAAAATATACAGTCGTATTCCAGCTTAGGATAAATGCTAAAACAAGTATTCCCTAATTGTTTCTGGCAATAAAAGTGTGCCAGTCTTTTTTAGAAAAGTCTTTATAAAACAAGAGTCTCTTGTTAACTCTTTATATTCCTGAAAGTGCTTAAGAGTACTGCGGAGAATATCCTAACACAACATTTGAATACAAAATTGTTGGCAATGTATTGTATCTCCTCCAGCTATCCCCAAACTATACATACTGCAAGAAGCTCTAATTTAACTGTGTTTCATTTAATCCTGTTTTTTTCCAATTTGACTTAACTTTGTTTATCCCAAAACTAATGGATGACAAGCTGTAAGTAGTTATATTCCTCCAGTAAAATAGCTTATTGCTGATCTGAATGAAGCAGTAAGTGTTGATTTCATAATACCTGCAAAAGAGAAATGGGAAGTTGAATGGGCAAGCAGTTGTGAAGGTTGTGGAATCTTCACTGTAGAAATCCTCCGGCCCAAGAGGCAGCCACTTAGTATTGTGGATAAACATGGTATCACTTTTACTTACAGAAAGATAAAATATTTTTCTTCTTCATAAATGTTGTATAGATTAAAAATGTAGAAAAACGTTGTGTATTTTGTAGTTTAAAAACTTCAGGTGCTTTTTCAGGTAGCGACTCCTTGGCTCTTTTAACAGTGTAATTCTCAATGTTGCATTTAGGATTTAATTAACTGTTGGTTAAATATTCTTTCTTGAGACAAGTCTGATGCAGTTTTTCTGTTAATACTTCGCATACATAAGATTTCAAGACATGGGAAAAATAAAGTTCATCTTGTAAAAAATCAAGTTGATGCTCTGGAGGAAGGCAAATTAAATATGAAAAAAACTTACCTCTCATCAAGAAGTTGAAAAAGTATGATTAAATTTATTCAGCCAATGAGGAGACATGTATCATATTAACTAATAATTGCTAGGCGATTTCTGATATTTTTTGTTAGCTGAGTTAGCAACATTTTGGGTTTCAAATATGCAATTTACTGTGGTGTCACCACTGTTAGACCCAAAGGTCATAGAGCTCTGTATTCCATCAGATTGAAGCCAGCTCTTTGTGTTTTTGAAAACGTTCCTGTCTTTTTATTTGTTTCCAGCTTACAGGATTTCACTGTTTTCAGGAAGATCCTGTAGATTGGAAACATTGGTTAATAACAAAATTGTCTTATGTTTCTCTTTCTTCATGCAGCTGCCTTGTATGCAATATTTTCTAATGAATTCTGAGATTTAACCCGTATGGAAGACAGAAACACAGTACCTAGTGACATATGCTCACTTGGTTCTGTCACTAAAGGGCACTCTCAGTTCTTTTTCTAATGAATTCTGAGATTTAACCCGTATGGAAGACAGAAACACAGTACCTAGTGACATATGCTCACTTGGTTCTGTCACTAAAGGGCACTCTCAGTTCTTCTTCACATTATGATCAAGCAAATAGAAATTAAACAATGTACCAGATGTGATTAAATTTATTGCGGTTTTGTTTGTTTGTTTGTTT